AATGATAACTTTAACGATAACTTGATCTTTCAAACTCTGAATACACTAGGTTGGAAAGAATAATAGGAATTCATTTAGTTCATTGTTTTTTAACAGAGATAGGGCAGGGTGGGAACTAGATCTAAAATCTTCAGAAAAGAATAAACTACTACTACTATTAATTGCTAAACAGGACAAATCTTCAATAGCTAAGCACACTCTTGCAGACAGAGGAGTCCAGAGTCCTACCTCAGTCATGGTCATCATTTCATTACGACATTTATCCAATTGATTCTGTAATTCATTTTGACTCTCCACAAGTTGTAAACCATACTGTGCAGCTTTTAGTCGCTCTTCTTCAGCCTCTTTGAGCTTGCATCGAAGATTTATGACTATATCTGCCTCCATGTTCTTTTCCTTTTTTTAGCCACCTGTAAATAGAGGAAATAAAACTACTTAAGCTTATACAAAAAACTCCATGCAATAATATCAATCATAGAAGAAATATATCTACTCAATTCTACTGCCATATAAAAACATTACAATTTTCTTTCTGACTAGTAAGTAGTCAAATTTGCATTCTTGTTCCAACAGCAAGAACTGTTCTAACTATTCTGTTACTGATTTGGGATCAAAAATTAAAGAGTGGAATAGAATACATTTAATTTTGCTTCTAAGCAGTTCACCATCAGAAAACTGTTCAGTTGTTGTACGCTAAACTTCCTTAAATGTTAAGGTAAAGTTGGTCTCATAATTGGACCGCTATCCATATAATCAAAATTAAGGAAATAACAAAAAAAGTAATCAAAAAACCTCATAGTAGCAGGTATGGTGGCTCATGCTTGTAATCCCAGCAGCTGGGGAGGACTGCTTGAGGCCAGGAATTTGAGACCAGCCTAAGCAACACAGCAAGACTCCATCTCAATCAATCAATCAATAGAAATAAGGTGGGGATAGTGCATGCCCCTGTGGTCTCGGCTACTTGGGAGGCTAAGGAGGGAAAACTGATGGAGTTACAGGCTTCAGTGAGTTATGATCATGCCAATGACAGAGCAAGACACTGTCTTGAAAAATAATAACAACAATAATACCGCCAGAAAAGGAAGGTCTGGGTACTATAAATAAATAAAATATAAAAAGGCAGCTGTGAATAAGGCTCATAAGGTAAAGTAAGGAATATCATGTCTGTAATTTTTCACAACAGTGTTAACTTCCTGTATATATTAAATCTGCTTTCTTGGAAAGAGATTCACTAGTATTTTTCTAGTTATTCATAAAAGTATGCAAAAATAGAAACCATATCGACAAGAATTAGAGGATGTTGCTTTCATTTCAGATTTATGAACAAACACTTAAACATTATATATAGAAACATTCTACTTTAATCAACCTTACTAATTATCCTTTACTATTTGGTCCCAGCCTCTTAAGCAAGACTCAAACTCACCTTTGCCTTCAAAGGGCACCAGGCCATTACAAATGTTCCCCCATGTTTCAAGTCAATTTAGTCATTTGCTGAACAAGTATTTCTTGAATGCCTCATACACTAGGTTCCACTCTGGGCAGTTCAGATTCATTAGGGAACAAAATGGACCAAAAATAAGCTCCTCCTTCATGCAACTTACATTTCAGGAGGGGAAGATAAACAATAAGTCATAGAATATTAATAAATTAGAGAGATGAGAAAAAAATAGAACAGAATAAGAATCTGGGAAGAAGAGACAGGTGATGTAACTAGGAGGCGGAAGATGAGAGAATCGGCCATGCAGCTATTTAGGAGAAGAATGTTCCAGCAAGAGGGGAATCTCTAAGGCAGGAAGAAGCCCAGGGAGTGAAATCTAAATGTGGGTAAGAGATAGTAGGGAGTGGGTAAATCAGGTCATCATAAGGACTTTGGCTCCTACTCTGGGTGACACGGGAAGTCATTCCAAAGTCTGGAGTAGAGGACCTGATATAATTTAAAAGGATCATTCTGGCTGCTATGTTGACTAGTTAGAAGGGGAACAAGGCTGGAAGCAGAGACCATGTGAAATGGCTCAGACTAGGGTGGTAGCATAGGAGGCTGTTAAGAAATGGCCAGATTGTGAAGGTTTTGAAGGTAGGGCCAGTATGATTTTCTGAAAGATACAACGTGGAATGTGTGAAAAAGGGAAAAGTAAAAAATGCCTCCAAGCCTTCTGGCCTGAGCACCTTGTAAAACGGAACTGCCATCAGCTGAAGCACTGATATAAATCATGTTCTGGAAAGAAAATCAGGAATTCAAGTTTTGAACATGAACTACATCAAGTAGGCAACTGGATATATGATAAGAGGAATCTTGGCTGGAGATGTAAATTTGAGAGTTATCAGTCTGTAGAGGATAAAAATATTTAAAGAAAAATGGACCAAGGATTGAACCCTGTTATGAGGTAGGGAAGAAGACAGCAGAGAATCAGGAGTGACCAGTGAGGTAGAAGGAAAACCAGGAGTATGTGTTGTCCTAGAAGGCAATAAACAGTGTATTAAGCAGGTGGGAGTAATCAATCATGTCAGATGCTGCTGCTAAGGCAATTAAGGTGAGAACAGAGAACTGGCCATTGAATTTGAATTCCTGGAGGTCTCTGGTGACAAGAACAGTTTTGATATACAGGTGGGGGTGAAAGCCTAACTAGAATGTCTTTGAGAGAAAATGGTAGGAGATAAATAAAGATAGCAAGCACAGGTTTGCTGCAAAGGACAACGGATAAATGGAGCAGCAGTTGGAGAGGAAGTAGGGACGAGTTTTTTGTTTATTTTTAAGATGGAAAAAAATAACAGTGTTTGTAGGCCATGGGATAAATCCAGGAGAGAAGAAAAACTGATGATCTAGAAGACACTGGAGAACTGCTAGTGATGTCCCTGAATAAACAGGATGAGGTTTAATGTAGAGAGACTGGTTTTAATAGAAGCATGGATATTTCATTTAAAGAAAGCAAAGTATATGAGTTCAGATGCTGATATGCAGGTATAGTGGTGGAAGTGTGTCTAAGTAACCTTTTAACTGCTTCAATTTATCAATGAATTAGGAAGCAAAGTCTTTAACTGAGAATGAAGACAAGGGAAGAGATACAGGGTTTTGAGAGAAAAAAAGGTGTTCTAGGTAATCCCAGTGTGGCAGTCACTGCTCTAAAATGCAAGACCTTTTCAAAATCTGTACATAACAGGGCCAGCCAACTAAATGTTGTACTGTTTACAATAACTCACATTCGTTGAGGATTTACCATTTGCCATGCTAAGTGCTTCAAATATATTATCTCATCTAATTCTCTTGATGAGCCTGAGTTAAGTAAATACTGTCATCTCAACCACCAAAATAAAAATAGGGTTAACCTCAAGACATTCCAGCCAGGCATTATCTAGAGAAGCCAAAAAAATTTGCTTTCATTTATTCAAAAGATTTGCTGGAATTCTTACTGCGTCAGACATTGTGCTAGTGCTGACAACACAACGGTAACACAAAACAATATTCCTGTCTTCTTGAATCCTGCAGTCTATTAGTAAAAGACATTAAATCAAGTAATTGAACTATCAAGTTACAAGTATGATAAGCGGAAGAGAGAGAGATGTATGCTACCTGGGCGTGTAACAAGGGGAAGCTGTCCTAATCTGGGGGGCAGCGTGTAGAAAGGAACATGGACCAAAAAAAAAAAAAAATTTCCTGAGGAGGTAACTTTTCAGCAGAGATCTAAATGGACGAGAAAGAGTTAACCTATCAATCTACAAAGAGAGAGAGCCGTGGTTGATTAAAAGCTACAGCTAATGTGTGGCAGACATTGTGCTTGGTGCTTTACACACATTCTTATTCACTCTTCTCAACAAATTCAAGAGGTTGAAGGTACTTCCCTCATTTTATAAATGCAAGCTGAGGCACAGAAAGTTTAGGTAACTTGCTTAGGGTTACCCGCAAGTTAAGAGGCGAAGTGAGATGGGAACTAGAATCTACCTACAAACCCCGGTGCTGCAACCATTTTTCTGTCCTGCTTCTCAAAAATACAGCACACACTAAGTATTTAGGAGATAGGAAACTCTGGGAATCAAACTGCCTGAGTTCCAACCCCGCCTCCACTACTCACTGGTTGCATGAACTTTGACAAGTTATTTAATGTCTTGTTTAATCATCTATAAAAACAAGCAAAATAACACCCACCTAATCGGTTATTGAAAGGATTAAATGAGATAACGAAGGAAAAGCAATTAGGGTAGAATCTGACACACGGCTGGGGCAGTGCTGTCCAGCAGAAATATAACGCGAGCCATGTACGTGATTTTAAATGTTCTAGGAGCCATCAGGTTTTAAAAAGTAAACACAGATGAAAAATTAATTTACATATTTAACCAAATACACTCAAAACACTATCATTTCAACATGTAATCATTATAAAAATTATTAGTGAGATATTACTCTTTGTGCGCTCTCTCTGAAATCCAGTGTGTATCTCCCATCTGCACATTTCTCAGTTCGGACTAGAGGCTACCGCACCGCACAGCGCAGATCCAGTGGCGGTTATCGTTTTGAGTACCCGGCAACCGACCCGGCCTTCCATATTTGAGCAGAATCCTTGAGGGCGGCGAGGCGGTCCAACGGAAGATTAGACCGGCTCGGAACCCAGTGTGTAGGACCCCAGGGTTCCGGGGAAGGAGGTGTTTCAGCTAAAGGCCTCGGCCAAGACCCCGGGCCCCTAGCTTTCTTCAGGGCCTATTCGACTCTCCCCACTACTGCTCTCCACACCCACCATCCACCAGGCCCCTTGCCCCTACCTCTCACGCCTGTCCCCTGCTGCCGCAGCCAGCGGCTCCTAATGGGAGCTCAGGGCGTCCACATTCATTCAGGACACTAACTCCACAGTCGCCATCCCATTCACTCAGCTAGTTCTCGGGTAAGCGCCAGGGCTTTTTGAATGCAGTTCCCGCGAGAAGTCCCACGTCTCACGAGATGTCCGCCCAAGCCGCGCGTAAAGGAAAAACTAAGAGAAACGCCCAATGCTGCGTCCCGCCCCCTCCTAGAACTACCGGCGCGCCGTGGGCTTGGCGCAGGCGCAGACGTGGCTCCTTAACTTAGAAATTGTATCTTGGGCTGGTTTCATGTATGTCTTCTAAGTATCCGCTTTTAGTTTCCGTGTTTTGGTATTTTGTTTGTTGTTGTTGTTGTTGTTTTTTTTTTTTTTTTAACGACAGTGCCTTCTAGGGGAACAGTGTCGCTGGGCTGGACGGTAGAGAATCACCTTTGGCACCATCGTGCGATCTCATGCACCCTACCAGTGGTAATACTGGCGTTAACATTTGAGTTACCACCATGTGCTAAAGTTTTCAGATTATCTCAGTTAAGCCTGCAGCCTTATGAGGTAGATATTACTCCTCATTTTTTGCAGAGAAAAACAAAGGCTGAAGAGAAAAAGTGCCTTGTCCGAGTGGTAGAACTAGAATTGATTGCAGTCCAAGCTGTTTGCATGTGTTTTTAATAATAATGTTTTGTAAACTTGATGCCTATTATTCAAAAATTGAAGCAATCAGAAATAATAATAGCTAACATTTAGTGAGCACTGATGAGTCCTAGTAACTGTTATAGGAATCATGTCGTTCTTTTGAGCCCATCTTTTCTTGCCTATTTGAGGACTTGGCTCTAACTGCTCTTTTTGGCAGCTTCAGTTTTTTCTTCTCTATTGGATCTTCCCTATCAGCTCATAAACTTCCTGCAATGATTGCCATAAAATCATTTCATGATTTCATTTTTTAAAATAATCCTTCTTGACCCCAATCAGCAACCACCCGATTTGTTTTCTTCCCTTTATAACAAAATTTCTGGGGGAAAAAAAAATCTTTACATCCATTATCTCCGTTTTCTTACCTTTTGTTCTTTTGTTTGTTTTTCCCACTTTAACCAGGATTTGGTCCCAACCAATACTGTGAAGTAGCTCTTGTTAGGTTTACCAGTGATTCCTACCTTGCAAAATTCGGCAGTCAATATTTAGTCCTCACTTCTGGTGAAATTTGACAGAGTTGCTTGCTCTCGTTGATATGAGTCTTTATGTATTGGGATGCCACACTCTCCTTGCCCTCCTCTTCTCAGTTTCCTTTGCAGACTACAATTTCTGCCTGAGCTAAGCCAGACTGAAAGGGTTGATCTGAGCTTTAAGATTGGCAACAAATTGCGCAGAGTGTAGTCTCACAGATGGATCTGGGGCTCTAATGAACCAGACGCTCATTCATTTGTAATCACGCCTATGTTCTTGGATAAATGAAACAAATTCCATTTTCCCTGTCGTTTAACAAAGATTCCTTAACTCGGGAGCCAGGAAAAGATTGTTCTAGCTTAGGCCAGTCATGACTGGCTGCAATTAGGTAATCTAAAATCGATCTGAACTTATTTTTTCTCCTTTGTAACAAGAGAAGGTATACCCCATATTATTAATGTTTCTTCCTATCCTATTTTAAAAATATATATTTTAAACTATTAATAAGTGACCACAATGTGTTAGGCATAGTGGAGGAATTCAGAGATGTGGTAAACTCGACTATTGCCTAAAAGATGCTCGCAATATAGTAGGAGATTTTAAAAAACAAATAGAACTTACAGGGCTGTAAATGCTATACAAGTGGTATGTGCCCCACACTAAAAGAGTTGTGTGAAGGTAGAGGTATATTTTGTCTGAATGTTCCTTTAAAACTTCCCAGTGCATGTGACACTTCAAGCAGGGCCTTGAAGGATGGCAGAGCTAAGGAGGGGTGCATTCTAGGAGAGGGGACAGCATTAGCAAAGGCACAGAGGCTACCCATGTCATAATTAAGGTCATTCTTTAGGGATGGCCTGAATACAAGGCTGCCAATACCACCACTGGACGCTAGATGTCACAAGTGAAATGAATTCTAGATGGGTTCTCCTTATAAGATAACTTACATGGAACTTCTGATTCACAGTACCAGATGCAGATCTCTGTACTCAGGCAAGGTCCGCATACTATGGCCTAAATACCAAAGGTCAGGAAAAAGCAAAAAACAGCAACCTTGTATCCGTTATTTTCCATTGACAAAAGGAGAGATGGGACTTGGCCTCTTCACACCGTAGAGGATTCACCAAGCATAGGATGGGACTTTCGATTCTGGGAAACAACACCCCCCTTCCAATTTTGTGCCCCTCAATTACAATTCCTAATCCTATAGCTGTCCAGAACTGGGATAGACTCCTGTAGTGAACTTGTCATCATTTCCTTGTGACTGTTCCAGAAGAAACAAGAGGATTAGACTGTTACATGGTATTGAAATCTACATATATTTTGACAGGAACTTATTGAATGATGATTTGTTTTGGGCACTACAGATGAATAGTCTCTGTATTAAACGAACTTAGAGTTTAGTGGAAGAGACATTTACCAAACAGTAAACAGTAAATCCTTACTTAGAGGATGACTTAGGCTTTCTTGTTCCTTCACATTATTAAGTAGAGCTGCAAGCTAGTCTTCGCTGGGATCAAGCAAAAACAAGCTCAGGACTCTGAGACACAGAGTCTGCAAATAAGAATGAGATTAAGCTGTAGAGCTCTGTGATTTATAGTATGGTCTGGAATATGAAGTTATGAGAGTTACACTAAAGGTTGTGGTCACTGAAACTTGGGGGATGGCTGAGATGAAGAAAAAAAGCTTCGAGAGAGAACAGAGGGGTGTGTGCAGGACTTTTGAGATTGTCCTAATCCATGGCACAGGAGGAGAATAAGGATCCACAAGAAAAACACGAGCCATATGAGAAGAGATCAGGAAATTGAATTGTCACAACTTCTACTGTGATAATTAGATATCGAATGAATCATTGTACCAGGCAGGTGGATTTGACTGTTTAATACTAATAATGATAATGAAACCCAGTCTGCGATCTCTCCTGTACTAACAATGTCTAGCACCAGCTTGAACTCTGAGTGAGCCTTATTGCTGTACTATTTTTTCTTTAAATAGGGGAAATCTTCTCTCAGAGAAAGGGTGCGCCATCCCAATATAGTAGACATTTATCAGCTAACATCCTAGCATGAATGCCTTCCTCCTATTCCCACCAAGAGAATTCTGATGATTCTTTTGTGTAATTCCTATTTTCTCAATTTTCAGCCATATGAATTCTTTAAAATTGATGCTACCTGTCATCTCTAGGATAGCCCATCACCCTGGTTACAGTAATTGGTTCGAAGATGTGCATGTGATGGAATCTAAGCCAAAGAGATTTTCCACTGGGACGGCTAGATAAATGGATTTTGTTAACTGCCTCTGTTACAGTCTGAATTGTGTCCTTACCCCCATCGCCACCTTCCCCCCATATTCATATGTTGAAACCCTAATTCCCAATGTGAACTGTATTTGGAGACAGGGCCCTTTAGGTTAAATGAGGTCACGAGGGTGAGGCCTTAATTGATAGGGCTACAGTCCTTACAACAAGAGGAAGAGACATCAGAGATAGATCCCCTTCCTCTTTATTTCTCCCTCTCTTTCCCCCACTACTCCCAAGTGCACACAGCGAGAAGGAGGCTGTCTGCAACCCAGGGAGAGAGACCTCACCAGAAACCAACCTTAGTCTTGGACTCCCAGCCTCCAGAACTGTGAGAAAATGTCTGTTATTTAAGCCACCCAGTCTGTGGTATTTTGTTATAGTTGCCTGAGCAGATTAATACAGCCTCTGTACTTAAACTTTATAACCCAGAGCTTCCAGCTGCCAACTTGGGGCTCATGAAAGACAAATCTGCTTGAAAGAGAGGGAACAGAGAGTTCTGGTCATGCCATTTGAGCCCTGTATCAAGCTGTCATGAAGCTAGAGCTATCCCTGGACTGTTCAGTTTTTGCTCCAACCCCAGAGCTTCACTTTGAGTTTTCTGTTTTCTGTTGTTTGCAACATAAAGATTTTTTGTTGTTGTTGTTTGATTGTTTGTTTGTTTTTGAGATGGTGTCTTACTCTGTCACCCAAGCTAGAATGCAGTAGTGCGATTTCGGCTCACTACAACCTCTGCCTCCTGGGTTCAAGTGATTCTCCTGCCTCAGCCTCCCAAGTAGCTGGGATTACAAGCGTCCACCACCATGCCTGGCTAATTTTTGTATTTTTAGTAGAGATGGGGTTTCGCCATTCTGGCTAGTCTGGTCTCGAACTCCTGACCTCAACTGATCCGCCTGCCTTGGCCTCCCAAAGTGCTGGAATTACAGGCGTGAGCCACTATGGCCAGCCAACAACGTAAAGGGTTTTAACCAATACACATAGTAATACTTATGTCTCATCTTGAGTATACTAACCTGTGACATTGAACCTGTCAAGTTCCCATTCTACATTTAGGCTAAAATGGAAAGTTGCTAATTTCCAGAGACTGGATCTGGCTTCTTTGAGAAAAAATGCCTTAGTTGAATGAAAATAAAGTCTTATCCTAAATAAAGGGGCTTAATGGAGGAAAATAAAGATTCAAACAGCTTACATGGAATCCCTTTCTTCGTTCCACTTCAGACTACCACCACACCACCTCTAAACTAACTTCTTCAGGTGATTTTAGCACCTAAGCCAGTTAGAATTAAGACTGCATGTTTGTATTAGTTACGGTTTTTACTTGCTAAGAAGTGTACTCACTCTGGTTGGTTTAAGATATACATGTATATTAAAAATGAGAGTCCTAACTTTCGCAACCATTTAAAAGACTGTAGCTGTTATGTATTCCTCCTCTCTAGCACCCATTACATATCCTGTATATTTTTTGACAGTCCCTCAACTACTTGGAGGCTTTTTATCCAGTAAAGCAACCCCAAGCTTCACTCTCCAATAAAACATATTCGTAGCCGTGATTTAGATTACTCACTATTCTGTTGGCCCAAATTTATTTGGCCCAAATCAGAGGGATAGGATAAAACTTGGGGTCTTTTTCTGTCTCTGAGGGCTTGAAACTGTGACACCGTACTCTTCTGTTTGTATCTCAATTCAGTTGAAGGAAATGGTTGCTGATCTCATAATGTTTAGGTTAATGTATTTTATTTCTAGGAAAATCCACTTGGGATTGCCCAGTGCACACGGTAGACATGGAAATTGATCATCAGCATCCCCAGGTAAGCAACTGGATACCCCTATTCAGAACTACCAGCCCAAAACCCACCTCCTGCCTGTTGCCACTAGGTGACAGTCTTTGCAAATATTTTGTTTGAAGGAACCCTCTTTCTGTAACAGAAATTAGATTCTGTTGGGAAATGTTTCTTTGCTAGTTTCAGTTAGATTTGCCAAATGCCCATATTTGTTATAATCTACACTCTTAGTCATTTGAGATCATAGTTATTTCTCATCTGGAACACTCTTTTCCTCCCTTTATTTAGTTCACTCTTATCCTGTTCGCTGGAAAGGTCCTATAACTAATGGTTAAGCACACAATACATGTTCTGGAGTCAGCATCTGGGTTTAACTGCAGGCTCTGTTACTTCCTAGATGTGTCTACCTTTGACAAGCCACTTGCTCTTTTTAAGTCTCAGTTTCCCCATGCACAAAGTGGCAAAATCAAAGTGTCTAATTCAATAGATAATCACTAACACTTCTAAAGCTCCTTTAGCATAATGTCGGTAAATGGGAGCTGTTATTATTAAGAGCGCTGTCTTAGCTTAAATGTCACTCCCTCCAGGACTCTTGCTGAGTCCCTAGTCTAGGGCACGTCCCCTGTGCTTCTCCTTCAGGCCACTTATAATAGCTTGTAGTAATTTGTGTAATTTATGTCTGCCTCCCTCGCTAAGCTGTATCTCCCAGCAAGTACCACAGTGCCTGAAACATGCCAAGGGCTAAAGTTAAGTTTGATGAATGAATGAAAAAATGCATACTCAAATCACTAGTATCAAATGAAATTCATTGATTTAAGTGGGAAATCTGTGAACTTTTTATATCTGTTAGAGATCAAAGTAACTTGTAGAGGAATTGTTACTCTTAATTCTGAGTGAAAAGTGCTGAGCATTTATTAATCAGTTTACATGAAATCCATGAAATGTTCCTGAGTATACCAGTATACCAAATAACTAGTTTGGGGTATTGCTTCTTTCACTTATGACAATGTAAGTGTCCCTCACTTGAACCAATTTTTTTTCAGCAAGAATTTATTTATTGATGTACTGTCTGTAATTCAAGCATTTTTAAATGTACTTGGGAACGTAGTATGTAAAATAATTGAAGAGGCCTCGAAAGTAAAGAATCCTTGGCTGAAGTAAATGTTCACTTTTGTGTAAATACTCAATTTCATGTATTAAGTTATCTTAAAGCAAGAGCTACCCTTCATGAACTTAAAGCTTTAAAACATATATTTCCTAATATTTTATCATGTCATAGACAGATTTTATGCATATCCTTCAAAACAAATCTGGCCCATGTTGTCCTATGAATATTTCAAACTAGAAAATATTGAAAACATTGCATAATTTCAGAAATCTTTAAAGTCATTTAGTTATGAAATGATCAACTGAGCAAGTAAAAAGGCCAAAAGTAGTCACAAGAAATGTTAGATGTTTGTTTTTAAAAAATAGTTTTATGTTTCCAAAGTTTTCTCAAAATATGAAGAATGAGAAGGTTTTGTGGCCTTGAAATACCCCAAAGAGACAGCAAAATCTCCTCTTCTTCCTACCATGGTGATAAATAAAACTTGAGGTGGCCCTGACAGTAGATGTGTTCCTTTCTTTGTATTAATCATTGCTTTTCTGGCCTGTTTACTTCTCCACTGCCTGGCAAGATGCTGGGACTCTGGCTTCATCACAAATAAATCCCATCAACTCACCCATGACATGCTACACACTACTAGCAGTATTTGGCCACTTTTGATAAATTGTTTAGTTGTGTGAAATACTTCCCTAAACTGAAGTTCTGGAACTCATCAGGTGTCTTCTCTGACAGTCATATCTTTCTTTGGCTCTCAGATTACCCAAGCAGCTGGGGTAAAGCCCATATCCTCCCACAAAGCATGCTGCTTTGGAAATTTGTATCTATTGGCTTTGGCACTCAAGTAATGTTCTTGCATTCTCCGTCAAGTCAGGGATGAATAATCTCTTGAGGGTGAGTAACCTTTTAAATGTTGGAGGACTCACAGTTCCAAGGATCAGTGTGCATTTAGCAATTTGTAAGAAAGGTCAGCATCCCTTATGACCACATTTGTGTTAGCAAGGCACAGATTCTTCTTCTCCTTCTTTGACTTAGTCTGGAGGTTGACATCACACTCTTCTCATGTCAATCCATCAGTTTGTGCAATCTTGATATACAAATGAAGTATGACTTCTGAGTTTCATGGGTGTGTAATCATTATCATTATATATGATTGAAAGCAGGCAGTTATAGAAGGGTCTTGGGTGACTGTCATTCTCCCATCTATAAAACTCCTGGCAAAGGGATTAATACACATCCTATAAACAGAGCCAGAGTTAAGTTCCTGAAAACAACATCCCATTAATTAATAAGGTTTAAATTTTGAAGTCAACATGGAAAAAATAGGTTTAAAAAGTAACATCTAATTTGTTTTTCAATACGGTTGGAAGGTCAGATTTCATTCTTACTCCCATGAAAGTAATTAGAGCTGCTCTCATCTTAAGAAACAGAGGTATATTAGGGTCACACAGTGTTTTCCATGCTTTGTTCTGTATTAGAAACACCTGAGGAACTTTTACAACTCCTGATGCCCAGGCTGTGCCTAGCACTAATGAAACCGGAATGGCTGGGGTGGGTGCCAGGTGTCAGTGATTTTCAAAACTCCTTGGGTGAACCCAATGTGCAGCAAAGTTTAGGAATCTTGAGTTGAAGCAATCATACATTCTCTACCACACTTCAGCTTTTCTTCATTGCCTCTTTAGCTCAGTGCATCTTAACCTGACTGCTCTTTAGAATCAAAGAGCATCTTTAAAAAATTCCATTCTAATTCATTAGGTCTAGGGCAGGGTGTACGCATCAGAAACATTCAGCTTTCCCATGTGACTCTACCATGCAGCCAGGGTGTAGAGTCTCTGGATCAGCAGATCACAGAAAGAGGCACATAAGGTGGATCTTTTGGCCGTTTTCTGGCAGTTAAGAGCTTCATACATTTTAAAAATTCCTCTTCACTAGCTTTGTTGAATGAATTTTCTTCTTCAAAGCACTAGGCTGTAAAGTCCAACCATCTTTCTGAATCTGTTCATAGCAGGGTTACCTGATAAAATACAGGATACCCAGTTAAATTTGATTTCAGCTAAATGAATATTTTTAGTATAAGTATGCCTATGTGATATTTGGTATTATAATAAAAATTATTTACTATTATTTGAAATTCAAATTTAACTTGTACCCTGCAATTTTATTTGCTACATCTGGCAACACTAATGGTGGGAGAGCATGGCTTATTCTTGGGAAAGTCAGCAGCTGAATTCGGGTGGAGCAGAGCACCATCCCTTGAAACTTCAGGGTTTGTGGCCTTTTAGCACTTACTTTTTGCTGCGAAGGTGGTAAATAAAGAGCCACCAGCAGTTTTGGAATTAAAAACTCCTAAAATCCCCCAGTGAGCCAAGAAGATGAGGAGGTTTACTGTGCAAGAACTAGGATGTGGAAAAAGGTGAAGACCTGAATCTTGAGTATAGGTTTTGGTTCCAGGAATCCCAGCTCTGTACTCTCTAAGGAATCACTATTTTGCCACTTTGAACTTTTTTGATGATTTCAAGTGCCTCAGACTTGCTTCCATACTCCCCAACCCCTTTCACATTTTTTTACACGTTATTATTTCTTCTTAATCTCTCTGAATATGAGATGCTTGTGGCCTTGGCTGAAATTGAGATAGTTTCCAGGTGGAACTGCTTTCATAACTCAGTGAGTCTGAACTAATGGAAACTTTGGAAGTTCTTTGCAGTGTTATAAGCACCCCCTAATCTCAGGAGGCTTCCCAAGCAGTCTGGATACTTTTCTGCCTCAGTCTCTAAGGACTGTTCACTACTAGCTGATTCCTGAAATTTCCTTCCTTCCCTGCATCCCAAATAGACCTTGAACTGTAAATAAAAGTCATGGGTGGGTGGGTGGATTTCTTAGCCAACAGCAGGTTCTCTACAAAGGGAAAAGGAGTGAGATTTCACGATGATTCCCAGAAAGCAGGTGTTATAATGATTTTACCAAATTGGAGCCTGACATTTTGATGAATAACTCTTGAGAACCCCTTATAATTTCCTCCATGGAGGAGATAGGCAAACAGGTAATACGTCAAATCCCCCTTTGCTGGTCCAAGTTTACTAATGGACGGAGGTGAAACAGGTGAAGCACATTAACTTTTAACCTGTTAACATTGATTGTTTTCACTAAGCATTAGGTACTCAAGAGAGAAATGCACACTGGCAGAAAGGAGACAAGACAAAGGGTGATAGGAAGGGGCTGGAAACTGGCCTGCATCTCGGAACATATTTGCAAGCCAGCTGGGCCCACTTTGCACAGATGTTTTTATAGGAGCAAGAAGGAGGGAAAAGTGTGCTAGTGTTGGATGCATTAGCACAGCAGTGGAATATCTTTGTTAGCATTTTTCCTTCTTTCTCACTGTGGCTGGACGAGGGTGGGGGCTTGGTCAGAGGCTTTGGGATAATTTTATTGCTCAACCTAAATTCAAGGAAATTATATACACTGACAATAAGACTTTTTACCAAGTTCATTTAAAAATGGTTAGTTTGTATTATTTGGATGTCAACTCTGAAATGCAAAGAGTTGCATGTTTATTTGCCTGTGGATAAAACAATCCAATCATCATTAGCTATTTGGAGAAAATATACTCAGAATTTATCTCCCTAGGCATAAATGTTGTGGTGGTTTTATTACAATATAGGTTTACTCTTCCCCTCCACAGATGATTGGTTTGGTCTTCCACTGTTTGGTGCTTCAGTTGCATGTCTATGTGATTAAGTGATTAAGGAGCTTGTCTGTAAGAAGGTTGCTTCTCTGTCTCTCTTCTTCCAGAAAATGGAAGAAGTCAGTTTTTTCTGTATAATTTGTAGGTTTGCAAATTAGTGGCCCACCATTGTACTGTTTGGCCCACACACAGTGCAGAAGAAAAGAAATATTTGATTCAAAGTTAGAAACTTGGGAATTTACA